GTATGTCTGACCCTGATACAGTGATACCCATGTATGTACGTATGTCTGACCCTGATACAGTGATACCCTTGTATGTACGTATGTCTGACCCTGATACAGTGATACCCTTGTATGTACGTATGTCTGACCCCTGATACAGTGATACCCTTGTATGTACGTATGTCTGACAGATTAAAGTTTTGCCTTTTGGTCAACTATCAACTAAGTGACAAAGCTAGGGTCACATGACTTTACATAATTAGGCTCATCTATAAGTACAGCATGTTGCATGACTTTTTGTAACCTTGACCTTTGACCCTGACCTCTGTGACTTGGCTTTAGTTTCTAAGTGTGGGAGTGGGGCACTCATGTCTTACAGACGCATTTCTAGTTTCTTCATTGTTTACCAGTTAAGTTATTGTGAAATTCACAGAAAGGTGAATCTGTGAATTTAACATGACTACAATCATGTCCTTTGCTGTGTCAAAGCTATACATGAGGACCTTGTTTATCAAGCCACCTTAATTTCATTTCTAAAATCGCTGAACTGTGAAACAGCTGGATTACTTAGACATTTTTAAATTGTGAGAGAGAAATATTGTGTCTCCCATAACACTAACTGTATATTGTGACATCCAGATAAGTGATAACTTGATAAACTAGGACGACAAGATTAGTGGTGACTGGATTAAGAGACTAGACTAAAGTTGCATAAAAAAAAATATCTTTGAAAATCAGTTCCTCTGAAAATATGGTAGCTGAAAAATTCATATGTCAAACACTGCAAGCATAGATACTTCTAGGTGTTTCATATCACTCCTGGCAGCAATAAGACTGTAAAAATACATAAATGGCATTAATATCATAGTTATTGTTGCTATGGAAAAATATGAAACTTGACATCGATATGTATCGGGCGCGATATCTCTATATCTTGATTTGAATTTGAGATCACAATCTCTGCCACACTGACCAGGCAAGGGTAAACGTTTAGAAATAAACTGTTATTTGAATATCTATCCTGTAATAAGCCCATCTGGCTATCACATATGGTAACAGTAAATTGGAAAATGTTACACTGTAGCAATAAAAACAAGAGGCCCAAGGGCCTTAGCGGTCACCTGAGTTATATCATAGGTACTGGTAGCTTTATTTTATTGTTTAGATGTGATGTGGAAATCAGCATGTAAACTAAGTGAAATACAATACTTGTCATGTCATCAAAGGATAAGAATTTCAAAATATTGGTAAATGTTCCCTTTTGGGGCAACGCCCTAGCACCTGGGGATGGGGCAGGAATCCCAAATTTACAATGTAACACCCTCATTCACCAAAGATGATTCTAACTAAGTATGTGAAATTTTCTGCTGAAAATGGATAAAATATACCCAAAAGTGTTATTTCCCGATATAAACTAAAGTAAACTTTACCCCCTCCCCAAGGGAGAACGGATAGCTCGGGGGTCCTGAAATTTACAATTTAAGTAAAGCCCCTGATGATCTTTCTTTCCATGCAGAAAAAATGACAGTATTACCGGTACCTCTGAGTCTAGAGTAGAAGATTTTTGAAATATTGGTTAATTTTCCCTTTGGGGTACCGCCTTGGCCCCAGGGGTTGGGGTAGGAAACTCAATTTTACAATTTGAAACCATCTTCCTCCAAGGATAATTCTCACCAAGTAAAATTAATTTCCTACAAAAAGTTGTCAAAATATACCCAAAAGTGTTATTTCCCTATATAAACTAAAGTAAACTTTACCCCTCCCCAAGGGAGAACGGATAGCTCGGGGTCCTGAATTTACAATTTTGAAGCCTCATCTACCAAGGATGATTCTGACCAAGTTTGGAAAAAATCCATCCACTGGTTCTTGAGAAGAAGTTGAATATGTAAAAAGTTTACACACTATGCATTCCCAGACGGAAAGCGATTAGAATAGGTCACTTGAGCAAAGCTCAGGTGACCTAAAAAGACCTGTATTATATGTATTATTGTTTTTGTGATCGAAACAAGCTGTCGCCTAAAATCTATACTTTGTTTGTCAACAGAAAGAGTTGTCTGGCATCTGCGCTCAGTGTGAACGTCACATCGGCACCGAGGGTGGCGGGATGGACCAGGCCATAGCTTTCATGGCACAGGAAGGAACAGTAAATATGTCAATTAATCAGATAAAAAAAAACATCGGAACCATAAATATATATCAGAGAGAGAAAAACATGAATACATATGTATGTAACAATGCATGTACATATCATTATGTGACAAATTGTATTTCTGAAGTACCTATTGATATTTCTGAAGTACCTATTGATATTTCTGAAGTACATATTGATATTTCTGAGACTGTAGGAGCATCTTTCTATCAGTCCATCCGTCACCTGCTTTGTTTTATAACAAACAATGGGGCCCAATGAAGGATATCCCCCCACTCCAGGGCAGCCTATAAGGGGGAGCACGTGCACCCAAACACAGGAAATTGGGGTTTATATTTAAAAGAATACTCCTTAAGTATGAATGAAAGAATGTTGATGTAATTTGGCATAAAGCATTCCTGTGCTAATGGAATGCAGTGTTTAATCAATGAAGGGTGGGGCTCACCAGGGGGGTAGAGGAGGAGCAGGGCCTTATGAATGACGTAATCCTAACTTTATTCGACACAGAGTATATCCCTTAGGCAAGGGAACTCAATGTTGTAGAAATGAGAGGTATAAACATCCCCCAATGCCAATGACAGAGGGATGGGGCCCATCAATTTTGGGTTAATGAATTTGAACATTGTTTAGCATGGAGCATTCCAAGAAGAGGGAGATTTATCATTGTATAAATGAAGGATGTGCCTCTTCTTAGCAGCAAAGTGGTAGGGCTCAATAGGGAATATGGGGATAAAAAACAATTTTCAACTTCTAGGTCTGAAAAACAACTTTTACCATGATTGATACATTTTTGTATTAATTTTAATTCCACTAAATTCAGTTTAACCGAATGTCTTACAGATTGTTGTTATTGCTCTTACTGTGATTTTCATTATTTTGGTCAGTAAAGTTCCTTGTTTGAAAATTTTTAGGAACAAAGTAAAGTCATCTGCCTTGCCTTTTTGGCAATATTTCTCAAGTCATGTACAATTCATATATCATCTGAATATTTTCAATGATGTACTTCCATTGTTTCTCCAAAACAGGCAAAGCACATAGAGTTTTCTCCCTTGCGTTCCACTAACGTACGGCTCCCAGCGGGTGCAGCATTTGTTATCACTAGCAGCTGTGTAGAGATGAATAAAGCCGCCACTTCACACTTCAACATCCGTGTGATTGAATGTCGCCTAGCAGCTCAGGTGTGTAGTCTAGACTTTATCAACAGGCTCTTTTTTTGTTGTCTCCCATCATTCACAGACTTGTTTACCTGTTTAGGATTCCCCTATCTCCCAATGGGATATGATTTCTCTGTCATTCCCTGAGGTGGTCAAGTGGTACAGAGGATAGCGCACTAGCCTTTCACCAAGACGGCTCGGGTTTGATTCTCCGATCAGACGTGGAAAGGTATGGGTCCACCAGCCCTACCACGTGGGTTTTCTCAGAGTAATCCAGGTTCCTCCCACATCAAGACCCCCTCCATGCTACCATCGGGGCCAACAAGTCATTAGTATAAGTTGATAGAACTTATTTCACAATCGTTGTAAAATGGAACAAGTTTATTTGAAAATCCCCTAAGATATGATAGATAAGACCTGGAAAGAAACAAAACTATGACATTACAGGAAAACTAAAAATAATAGTAAAATCTGCTTTAAACGGTAGAGATCATGAGCAAATCAGGATTACCTACTACAAATGCTGAAATCTTACGTTTTCACACATGGTATTGAAAGATTGGACAAAAATTAATCCTTCTGTATGGTGTAGGATATGCCAGAGAAATTTCAACCTTTGCACGTCTCAGGTTAAGACAATCAAGAACATCACCACTCAGATTGAGATTTTTCTATCATACATGAACGGTAGGGGAGGATTCTATAAAAATCATAGCGAGAGAGCTTGTGATGGGAGAGACCCAATATTTGTAATCGGTCTACAGTAGCACCTGTCTAAAGTCTTTTCAGTGAATCGAAGTTGAGTTAAGAACTGATCCCCTATCAATGCAGATGATTTACCTTTTCCCTAACCTATTGCCACTATAAAACCTACCAAAATCACTCTGTGTCATGATTGTGACGTTAATATAATCATGGTAACAATCCACGGATCAGTAAACCAGGGATATGTGCTGGTTTTAATCTGAACCTTTGATAAGTTGAACATTAATTCTTAAGTCAAAACCAAAGTTACCATAGCTATTTAAGCAACACTTCTTTGTCTATTTTGAGTGAAATTTCATTAATACAGCACTGGATTGTAGACGAGAAATAGTAAATCAAGCCAAAATGAACCTGCCTTGACCGACTGTGCTGTAGTATTAGTGGTCTATATATATATCAACAGGGTGACTTTCTAAGTATGTAACAATATTAAATAAAACGTCCATAACTACATAAACCCATACCCTAGCAAAATGCAAAATCCAGAAACCTTGCAATCCTGTATTATATTTTAATTATAATCTCCCTTGGAGCAATCTAAATTAAGAGCTGAATGTTTTCTTTTATATATTTGATGTATGATTAATACTCTTTAGCTTATCCTATATTTCTGTCACAACTAGTTTTGAAAAACTAAGCTTTACATTGTAGATTATTGCCAAAACTAAAGGGTTGAACTGGCGAGATTACAAACGTTTTGGTGATGTACAAAGTGCTCTTGGTCTGAGTCTGGAGGAAGCTTTAGCTATTGTAGAGGAGACCTTTCACAAGGAGCCTTACACAAAGGAGGAGCTGTGTGGACTTCTGGAGGTAACTCCGGAACAACTAGCTGATACCACCCTAAGTGCCAATACACTTACAGGTAGAATACAATATTATTTTTACTTTTACTTCTCTGATTTATCTTGCCAAATCTTTTAAAATTCTTCTCACCAGTCCTAAAAGAGGACAAAAAATTATGATAATTATACTGGTAATCCTCCAATAATGGCCCTCATTTCATTTGCCTTTTAGTTACTGCAAAAATATTTTGAGATCCCTCTATTGCTGTTTTTACAATTTACAGAAGACCCCTTGATATAATGTCATTGTCAGCATTTTGTTGGCCAAATGGTGGCATTAAATAAATTAACGTATGTCTGTAGTTGATAATACAGAAAAATGTATAATAGATGAACACTATACCAATAAATAAGTAATTAATTCTTGTTTTCAACACAGTGCAGTCTTTCAAGCTGTATGATAGAGCCACCCATGTGTTCAGTGAAGCGAGTCGTGTCCTACAATTCAAGGGTATCTGTGACGAGAATCCAGGCGATGCTCTCCAGCGTCTTGGCACTCTAATGAACGCCAGCCATGCCAGCTGTCGGGACCTATACGAGTGTAGCTGTACAGATTTAGACAAACTAGTCAACATTTGTGTGTAAGTATACAACCAGTCACCCCCAACACACAGGAATAACAGTTTCTAGGACAGAGTGAAAATATCCTAAATCAAGAATGGTGTTGATGAACTAGCACTTGAAAGTTTTTTTTAAATGTTTGATATGTCCTGACTAAAACCTTTGTATTTCATCAAGTTTCTAAGTTTTTCATTTATCTACAGCTGAGTGTAAAAAAATACAGGAATGGGGAAAATATTAAGATGTCAAGATCTCTAATACTGCTTGCGACACAAAAAAGGGACCCATACAATCTATTGTAGTACATGTACATGTATTCTCTTGATTATAGTAAACTTTAAGCCCAAGTAGGTTTATACTGTGTACTCGGCCAGTGAATGGGTCTTTGTACTTCCAATGCCGCATTAGGCGAGTGTACCAAGCTAAGGGAAGTAACTGCATATCAAATGCTTTCGTTGAAAATCATTTCTTATTAAGTTATTGACAATGGTTATATTCTTATATAACCCACTGGACCAACCTGCTTATAAATATGAGGTCAAACAAAATCTAAGTCAATTAACTGACCATCTGCATATTTCCAATGATTTTCAGAGAATCCGGTGCTCTTGGGTCACGCCTGACTGGTGCCGGATGGGGAGGCTGTGCCGTTTCCATGGTACCTATGGATCAGGTGGAACAGTTCCTAACAAAGGTCAAGGAAAAATATTATGCAAATGAGCCTTCTAGAGCTGCCAACGTCTCGACTGCTGTATTTGCCACACAGCCTGGAGGGGGTGCGGCCATTTATAAGGTTTAGATCAGCGAGGGGTTTCTTAGTCAATGTATATGAGATTTGTTATTGGAACTTTAGAGATTCACTGTCTCTTGCTTAAGATACTAAAAAAAAATACATCTAACATGTTGAATAGGATTTGTAAAAGAATTTTATATGGTTTCCTCTCTGTTGCATTTTCTTTATAAGTATTTTTTTTATCTCTATATATGCAATTGGATATTACACAAATGATACTTTCTAAGTGTGAATTATCATATAAGACAAGCAGGAATGGTGCTACATTGTTATTTTGTAGTCATAATTTTCAATAATTATAAGTGCAATATTTTCACTTTGTACTATCGTATCTTGCTTACCTTGTCAACCTCTTCTGAGGAAAATGTCCCTGTTAACGTAAATATGGATAAATGACATTTTCGTTTTCATGACCTGACTTTTGTTCGTGTTTGATTATGTAACTTTTGTCTCATCAGTCTGTTGTTGTAAGTGCCATATTGAAGGGGGTCGGTTTATTGGATGTAGAGACATGTATGGTTTGGATGCCGGTACATTGTTAAGTGGATGTAGATACATGTATAGTTTGGATGCCGGTACAATGGTAAGTGGGTGGAGATACATGTATGGATTGGATGCCGGTACAATGGTAAGTGGATGTAGATATATGTATAGTTTGGATGCCGGTACAATGGTAAGTGGATGTAGATATATGTATAGTTTGGATGCCGGTACAATGGTAAGTGGATGTAGATACATGTATGGTTTGGATGCCGGTACAATGTTAAGTGGATGTAGATACATGTATAGTTTGGATGCCGGTACAATGGTAAGTGGATGTAGATATATGTATAGTTTGGATGCCGGTACAATGTTAAGTGGATGTAGATACATGTATGGTTTGGATGCCGGTACAATGGTAAGTGGGGGGAGATACATGTATAGTTTGGATGCCGGTACAATGTTAAGTGGATGTAGATACATGTATAGTTTGGATTCCGGTACAATGGTAAGTGGATGTAGATATATGTATAGTTTGGATGCCGGAGCAATGTTAAGTGGATGTAGATACATGTATGGTTTGGATGCCGGTACAATGTTAAGTGGGTGTAGATACATGTATAGTTTGGATGCCGGTACAATGGTAAGTGGATGGAGATATATGTATAGTTTGGATGCCGGTACAATGGTAAGTGGGTGGAGATATTTATACAGGTGATATATAGCTTTTGTTGATTATAAACGGATTAACCTAACAAGTTTAGCGTAGCATTACATGAAAATGACGTCTTTGATAAAGGGGTTTGATTTCAGTTTCCATATATGTCTGTTCCTAGATTACCTCATTATGTAACCCTTTCACCCCTATGTAACTTTACTAAACTCTACCATCGTTGATCTGGGCAAGTCCATTATGGTCTATAGAGGTGAAAAGGGTTAATAAGACAATTTATTTACCCTACCACTTTAAGGTCATTGGAGTGTATTGATAAACGGAAACAGGAAGTACATCTCTAGTTGAAAATTCAATGTAGGGAGACAGTATCACAATTTCCGCAAATTCTAATGTTTAATATTAAACTGATGCATATTGTATGTTTATTATTGACAGAACAGTGTGTTCTCTCGATATTAAAGTATTTCAAAGCAATCCAGGCATTAATTTAGGGGTTTTTTATCAATGAGTCACATGTGTCAATTTTTTCTTTACTTCAGGAAACCGGCTACCTATTTCACTACTGTGAAGTTTTTCCAGAACAATAACTCTTACCTGCAATTACCATGTGTATATGGTTTTATTATAAAATGTCAATTTTTCTATCGTGTATAGAGAATTAATTTTACACAATTCCAGCATTTATTAAATTGATATACATTAATGCAATACTAATATATGTCAGTATCATTTTTATTGACATTATTTTGTAAAAATATTGTGTCTTTCATTTTTTTTTTCAAAATTCACTCCATTTTACATAAATTTCCATTTAAAATCCTTAAAATTCTGACAACCTATATTTTTTTTGTGGCAGAAAATGTTCTTTACTTTACAGCAATATAACTACAAAATATAAAGAAATTCTACTGAGAAATGGTGACACAATTCTATTACCTTAAGTGCTTACATAATATATATAATAATTTGTGAACCGCTTTGAGACGACCTACAAACTAGGTCATGATAAAGCGGTATATAGGAACTCCAAATTATTATTATATATATAAATTATAACTAGTTATTGATCAACACATGTTCTTGCTAAATTTGCAGTGATATATAATATCTTTGGGACCAAGTTTAAATATTCAGTATGCAGGGTGATGACGACAATTGTAATAAGGATATCATGCGACCAAGGTAAAGACTGGTATTTTAGATGCCTGTTGTGTAGGTTTGCAAGCTGTTAAAATTGTCAAGTAAAACCGGGTATATCATAATATTTCATACGTGATACATGTACTTGTTGTGGATATTGAACAAGAAAACAACAAGGCTGTATTTAATAATTAATATGCAAATCATTTAAATAACATCAGAATCAAGTTATAAAATCTTGGAACTGAATTAATTTGGCATCCAAACAAAGTGTCACCGGGAAATCCCTAAAAGCCAGTGGATAGAACAGCTGTGAGGGGGAACTAATCCAGGGGAGGTAATTCAGGTGTCTCCTCTTACAAAATTATTGGTTGTGTTGACAGAATAAACACAGATGAACAAAAGTTTCTTGGTTTGTGGTTTTATCTTTTAGCCGTTTTAAGAAGAGTTTGTATGAATTAGAGAATGGCCTTCATATTACCATACTACACCGTTCCTGCCCCACCCTCAATTTCTCTACCACAGACTTATTTTCTGTGATTTTCTTATTCAGGATATCAAACTGATGTAATCTAAACCAGATTTGGTTTAAAAAAAAGTCAAATAGAAACAAAATATTAAACCCTTCATTTCACCATTATGGTAAAGTGAAGCGCCCCTGCCCCACCCTAGATTTCTCTAACCCAGACGTAATTTTTGTGATTTTCATATTCAGGACATCAAACTTATGTAAAGTAAATCAGATTTGGTTTAAAAAGGTCAAATAGAAAAAAAATGCTAAAACCCTTCATTTCACCATTATGGTAAAGTGAAGCGCCCCTGCCCCACCCTAGATTTCTCTAACCCAGACGTAATTTTTGTGATTTTCATATTCAGGACATCAAACTTATGTAAAGTAAATCAGATTTGGTTTAAAAAGGTCAAATAGAAAAAAAATGCTAAAACCCTTCATTTCACCATTATGGTAAAGTGAAGCGCCCCTGCCCCACCCTAGATTTCTCTAACCCAGACGTAATTTTTGTGATTTTCATATTCAGGACATCAAACTTATGTAAAGTAAATCAGATTTGGTTTAAAAAGGTCAAATAGAAAAAAAATGCTAAAACCCTTCATTTCACCATTATGGTAAAGTGAAGCGCCCCTGCCCCACCCTAGATTTCTCTAACCCAGACGTAATTTTTGTGATTTTCATATTCAGGACATCAAACTTATGTAAAGTAAATCAGATTTGGTTTAAAAAGGTCAAATAGAAAAAAAATGCTAAAACCCTTCATTTCACCATTATGGTTAAGTGAAGCGCCCCTGCCCCACCCAAGATTTCTCTACCCCAGACACAATTTTTGTGGTTTTCAGATAGAATACATCAAGTTGAAGTAATCTTAAAGAAAATGAATAGAAAAAAGTTTGTCAGAATAGAAATCGATGGAACTCTTCATTTCACCATGGGGCGGTTCATATTACCATAATGGTAATATGAACTGCGGTTCATTTCACCATGCTTCACAATACCATGCTACACCAGCTAAAAGCTAGCAATACAAGTATCCCTTCAAGATGCACTAGCTAACGTATACTGGTCAATATTTTGCCATGTAACTGATATAATAGTACCTAATAGTAGAGTTGTCCAGGGTAAGAAAGGGATGGACAGCTCTAAGCAATTTCTATCTTACACCCCATTTAACGTGACGTCACAATGGCTCAACAATGACGTGACGTCAGGAGTTTGGAAAACTCTGATACCGCAATGTGGAAAAGGCAACGTGATGAAAATAAAACCTACTACAATATATTAACTGTACACGCAAATATGGGGTATGCTTTATCTTTCTGACAGGATAGGGAAATTCCTCCAAAGCCGCAGGTTTTACCAAATTAAAAAAAAAAATTGGGTGGAACTTCCTTTGCCTACACCCTTGAGAATGAAAGTCTTATAATATAACAATAACACAACAGAGTAGCACCACAGGCTATTCTTATAGATGACTGCAGCAGTGAATCGACACATGTACAAAAATAATAACAGTTTTTTTATTGAAGTTGATTATGTTTTATTCCTTTAAATACTTGATCATTGTAAGAACAATGTAAACAATGTAATATACTGAAGCTTTTAATTCTTCAGCAGCAAATGTATACATTTCAAAATGCAAAATAAGGAGAGCACCCATAGTAATAAGCTAATATATATATATATAATGATATTGTCATAATTTCTTTAAAACTTATGGTGGCATATTTCTGCCATCCACTTGCGACTTACGAGTTACGTATGTCGACATAATTATTGAAAGATGTCGACATAATCTGAGAATATGTCGACATAACTTTTAAATTATGTCGACATATTATCACATTTGCCGAGATAATTATCTCGTAAGTGGGTAACTCGGCTTTTTATCGTGTTAATGCTCGGGTGTGACATCAACTTACGACTTGCCACTTACGACTTATTTATGTAAAATCCCTCTTTGATTGATAAACTCTGTACATCATAGTAACCTACTGTAATATCCATATCTTTGATTTCCCATATTTACATTGATTTTACCAAGTTACTCACCAGTATAGTCACCACTGTTCAGTCACCATCAGCCCACCTTCGCGGTCCTCGTGCACAAGCCTCGTTTTGGTAAGTCGGCAATAATCTACTAGGATGTCGACATAAATAAGTCGTAAGTGGCAAGTCGTAAGTGGCAAGTCGATGTCACACCCGAGCATTAACACGATAAAAAGCCGAGTTACCCACTTACGAGATAATTATCTCGGCAAAATTAACTCGGCAAATGTGATAATATGTCGACATAATTTAACAGTTATGTCAACATATTCTCAGATTATGTCGACATCTTTCAATAATTATGTCGACATACGTAACTCGTAAGACGCAAGTGGATGGCAGAAATATGCCACCATAAAAACTAAAACCAAGATATACATTTCAAGGTATCAAGATAAAACATTCTAAGGTTATATGCACAAAAACACCTGTTGGAAAATAACATTTAAGCTCACCTGCTCAACACATCTTCTAAAGATATTACACTTAAGTACAAAACAGGTACAGAATTTAATCATTTGATCAAAATTCATTAAGGATGCAACACATGGCAACAGGAAATAGAGGACAAGGTGCAACATGCGGCGAAAGGAAATGGGGGGACAAGGTGCAACATGCGGCAACAGGAAACGGGGGACAGGATGCAACACATGGCAATAGGAAATGGGGGACAGGGTGCAGCACATGGCAATAGGAAATGGGGGACAGGATGCATCACATGGCAATAGGAAATGGGGGACAGGATGCATCACATGGCAATAGGAAATGGGGGACAGGATGCATCACATGGCAATAGGAAATGGGGGACAGGATGAAACACATGGCAATAGGAAATGGGGGACAGGATCCAAAATATGTCAATAGGAAATGGGGGACAGTGTGCAACACATGTCAATAGGAAATGGGGGACAGGGTGCAACACCTGTCAATAGAAAATGGAGGACAGGATGCAACACATGGCAATAGGAAATGGGGGAGAGGATGCAACACATGGCAATAGGAAATGGGGGAGAGGATGCAACACATGGCAATAGGAAATGGGGGCCAGGATGCAACATATGTCAATAGGAAATGGGGAACAGCGTGCAACACATGGCAATAGGAAATGGGGGACAGTGTGCAACAAATGTCAATAGGAAATGGGGGACAGGGTGTAACACATGGCAATAGGAAATGGGGGACAGGATCCAAAATATGTCAATAGGAAATGGGGGACAGTGTGCAACACATGTCAATAGGAAATGGGGGACAGAGTGCAACATAGGTCAATAGGAAATGGGGGACAGGGTGCAACATATGGCAATAGGAAATGGGGGACAGGGTGCAACATATGTCAATAGGAAATGGGGGACAAGATGCAACACATGGCAATAGGAAATGGGGGACAGGTTGCAACACATGGCAATAGGAAATGGGGGACAGTGTGCAACACATGGCAATAGGAAATGGGGGACAGGGTGAAACACATGGCAATAGGAAATGGGGGACAGGGTGAAACACATGGCAATAGGAAATGGGGGACAGGGTGCAGCATATGGCAATAGGAAATGGGGGACAGGATGCAAAATATGTCAATAGGAAATGGGGGACAGTGTGCAACACATGTCAATAGGAAATGGGGGACAGGGTGCAACACATGACAATAGGAAATGGGGGACAGGATGCAACACATGGCAATAGGAAACGGGGGACAGGATGCAACACATGGCAATAGGAAAGGGGGGACAGGGTGCAACACATGACAATAGGAAATGGGGGACAGGGTGCAACACATGACAATAGGAAATGGGGGACAGGGTGCAACACATGGCAATAGGAAATGGGGGACAGGATTCAACACATGGCAATAGGAAATGGGGGACAAGATGCAACACATGGCAATAGGAAATGGGGGACAGTGTGCAACACATGGCAATAGGAAATGGGGGACAGTGTGCAACAAATGTCAATAGGAAATGGGGGACAGGGTGTAACACATGGCAATAGGAAATGGGGGACAGGATGCAACACATGGCAATTGGAAATGGGGGGACAGGGTGCAGCACATGGTGATGGGAAATGGGAGACAGGGTTGACATGGTAACACTACATGACAACCCATTAAATGGTGGGGAAATAAAATTTACTTCCTCACCACTTTCTTATATCAACTCAAAGGGATGCATGGTAATTTTTCATCAATATACAATAAAGTGATATACATGTATATCATTCAATATAAACACAGGTACAAATAGGTAAATAAATTGTGTACATATACACTTATCAACAAAAGATATTGCACAATGTAAAAATCATAAAAGTGTAAACCATAAACGACCATTTAATGTTACAATAGTCTTGTTAGACTTTTTTAGGGAAAAAAACCCAAATCATTAGGAAACAAAATAGTTAAAAGGAATCATCGCCATAAAAAAAGCAGTTCTCCCAGATTTATCAAATCTTATGTTTGAGCAAGGCTACTACGAATGTATTAAAAGAACTCTTATTGTGAGTTTTTGCAATTTTTTATAATGTTTGAACCCTGTAGCCTTGGAAGTAAGTCAATGTCATTTATTTGGGGAAACTTTATAGCACTCCGTACCGGGTTCCTAGTGGCCAACAATCATTACCCTGGGCCTCCTAGTTATTCAGAAGGAGTTTTAAGGTTTTTACACATTTTATGCCTGTGACCTTGAAAGTTGGGCAAGGTCATCTATTTGAGGTAAATAATTGTCAGATAATGGTGGTTATTGAATTTGTCCAAACTTTTATGGTAATACATAACGTTTCTAGAAAGTTTGAAGCTAAACCATTAAAAACTAAAAATTTGTTTTTGTGAACAACAACATATGCCTCCTCTTATTAGCCAATATGCACATTTGGAAGAAAAGAATGGTCACATCAAGTTAAGGTGTGTAAATTCTAAACCATTAAACTTTAAATTGATTCTGGTTCATGTTAAATTGTCTTAACAATTTTGGTTAAGTTTTGGCAGCTATGGTACTATAGGCACATTTACATGTACATAAAAATAGGAATTATCACACATCTGATTACAACCTGTTTCATCTATTGGTTCATTATTTTTTATAGACTTAACCTTAGTGTATTTAGAACATTTATTGTATACAACAAAATATACTCACTATGTACTGAATTACTAGTCGCTATATTTACTAATTCTTTGAAAATTGTGAATGTTACATACCGAAAGTAAAAGGAATTACAATAAATAGAACTGACGCACTGTCATTGATAACGCACACATCAATGGTTCTTGTCAAACAATATTTATCTGACAACCTTTCACTTTCACTCCAAAAGAACGTAGGAGAAATAACATGGAACTTTGCAGACAAACTTCGGTATAAAAAATTAACTTAGGGCTACATCTCTTCGTATAGTTGGGCACAAGACCCGATTTTATAATGCAACACTCCTACTTCCCAAGATACATAACTATAACAAGTTTGGTCAAAATAGGTGAAATAACATGGAAGTTATGCCGTGGACAAACTTCGGTATTAAAAATAAACAAAGATCAATAACTCTGTATATAGAGGGGCACGAGATCTTATTCCAGTGCACTGCACACCTTCTGTGGATGATGCAGGTATACTTCAAGCTTGATCAAGATATCTTTAACAGTTTAGAAGTTATGCTGTGGACAAACTTTGATACAAAAAATAAACAAAAGGTCATAACTATGTATATAGTGGGGCACAAGACCCGACTTCAGTGCTAGAGATTCCGCCTTCCCACGATACATAGATATGGTAGGTTTGGTCAATGTAGGTGAAATAACATGGAACTTATGCTCTGGACAAACTTCATTATCAAATATAAACAAAGGACCATAACTCTGTATATAGTGGGGCACAAGACCTTCTGCAGGTGATGCAGGTATACTTGATGTTTGATCAAGATATCTTTAACGATTTAATATTTACAGGCCAGACAAGAATTTACTGAAAATGTTGCACTTATTTGACCTTTGACCTTGAGGTGAAGGTCATAGTGACCTAATTTCAGTGAACTACACACTAATTGTGGGTGATGCAGGCATACCTCAAGTTTTATCAAGATATATTTAACGGTTTAAAATTTATGGCCCAGACAAGTTGCGATTAGAAGAACCAGAAGAAGAACCAGTACCAATACAGTATGTCTCCCTTCATTCGAAGGGCAGAAATAATTACTTGAGATATCAAATAGACACTGTTTCCTGTTTGAATAAAGGGCCATAACCTTGTAAATTATTGTCAAATAATGGTGGCTTAAAGGCTTTCCCAATGTGCTTCTGGTCTATAGAGAACAGTTATGTACAGGAGAAGAATCTTGGATTTGTGTAAGAAAATCAAAAGTTCCCAGAGTTTTCACTCTAACACTATGTGGGGTTTTGTCAACCATGTGCATTTTACACAACACTGAGAGACAAATTTCGTGAACAAATAAATACACAAAACAGTCAGTACTTCATGATCACAGAAATGTATTTGGAGGGAGTTACTTCCCTTGCTTATTATTACCGCCTTCATAGAATGCACTGTATGTACATGTATATTTGATGGTTTTGTCAGCCATGATTAGAACAAGTTATCAAAAAATATATGCAATTAGAATAGAGGTAAAATAGGCTTGCCTATGAGTGTAAAACAATTCCTGAACAATGAAAGGTCTCAGTGGTAACAACAACTATATATCAATATTTACTGTATTGTTTACCTCTGTTTGGTGTAAAGGTTACCAAAATGTTTGACACTTCCCACTACACTGAAACATCTTGATGACCTGGACTACAGTTCACCTCAAGCTACATTGTCATTATCCTTAAATATCTAAGACTGTATGGTGAATGTGTGGCACCCGGTTATATTTTATATTTCGTTATAGTTATAGTATTGCTTCTCCACAAGCATATTTAGGGCCTACCGTAGTTCCGATTCAACTAGATGCATCATTCTTGTCATCACGTGATCTGTACTTTCGCGTTGTCAGATGATTTGTACTTTTGCTTTGTCAATCATAAGGGGCGTGTCCATTACAGGTACATGTTTGTGTCTATACCTGTGTTGTCACTTTTTAAGTTGTATTCCCCGGACTGCAGACAAGGACTGAAAATCATGCTACATATTAATACTTTCCCGCCACATATCATCTTCTTCTTTATTATTTCTCTGCCTTTCCGTCACTGTCTTGGGTGACGGAGGGACAGGACGCCCCACTAGTGAGCTAAAGATACATTTTACAGAAATTATACAGATATAAACGTAACCGTCAATTTTTTCAATGACGTCTGTTCAGTTTAAACTGTCTTGGTGTCTTTTTACCGAAGCAAAGAACCTGAAAATTATAAAGGTGACAAAGCAATATCATATTTATTTTTACCAGAACACTGATTATTATCACATAAGCTTTTGAAAGCAATGATAGTTACCAGTATAATTAACGGACAGAAAAAAAATTGTTGAATAAGAAAAATACATGAGTATTCTTGCGTAATAAAGGCACAACATCTGACAGCTAATTCTTACATGTATATAAATAAGGAAGTAAATTTCCACTCACAACATACCCAGGGCATTTTCAGCATTTCAACTTCACAAGTCACTGATAGACTAAAACATTATGTGTGTTTAAATTTAAGACAGAACAATTTTTACATAAATAAAACAATTCCACATTAGTCTTCGATGAAGTCATTAACATTCAACCATGTTCAGATGCTGCATGATTTTAAGGACATAGAATCTCAAAATTTATATTAGAAATAAATTGATTCAAAATTAATATATCTCAGATATTTGTCTTCATAATATTTCTAATGCCCTTCATCTCCTTGACATTCAGTTTTGAAAAGAAATCTTTTTTTCAGTTTAGAATGTACCTTCATGTAAAGCAACAGGTCCAAGCCAGGGCCTTGAATAGCTCACCTGTCTATTTTGAAATTGAAGCTGATTTTGTTTCATGTTGAAATATCTGCCAATTAGTTAAGAAGGAGAACCCCAAAGATTGTCAGTCAGCTTTATTTATAGAACCTTTGATACCCGTGGGTTAGGGAATAAATTAAAGACCGAATTTTTGTTGAACCTACCCAGTAGTTGGGAGATAAGCTTAAACCAGATCACCATTTTTTATTTGACAACAATAATGGAACAAGTTGGCCAGGATGTCTTACTGTGGGAGGAAACCGGAGTACAAAGAGAAATCCTACGTGATCGGACAGGTGACCCCATAGCTTTTTACGTCTGACCAGGGAATTGAACTCTTGGTGAAAGGCGAGTGCATTATCCTCTACGCCACCCCGACCACACTTGTGACTAACTTTTGACCCAGCTTCAGCCCCTTTATATAATTTAGATCCCCAAGGCTGAAGATGCTAGATATACAACCAAGATTTTGTTGAAATTTGCTCAATAGTTTGGGAGGAGATCTTTTACAAGTACTGATGCAACAGATGGCAAGATTGAGATAATAGACCTCAGATCACGAAGCGCCAAAGAGTAAGCTAACTGTGTCGTACTTTTACCAGGTGAGCTAACATACATCAAATGGACCATGCAATAGGGCTGTAATAAGTCTAAGTGCTCCCAGTAAGTAAGTAAACAGCAGCAGTGGGCTGTAATAAGTCTTACTGCTCCCAGTTGGTAAGTAAACAGCAGCAGTGGGCTGTAATAAGTCTTAGTGCTCCCAGTAAGTAAGTTAACAGCAGCAGTATAAGCCTATGATGGTGAGCATGTTTAAAATAACATATTTAATGACGGATACAACAGTATCACAATCAATTTTTCTTTTGACACAAAAGACTTTTCTTTTTCCAATATCAGGAGAAGTTATGGCCCTTGTTCCTTCTACAACAAAGTTATGCCTTCTCCTTATAATATGGGTAGGAAGGAGCAAAGTTTGAAAATTCTTCTCCTTGGTCTGCACTGTTGCTGTTTTGACGCATGATTCGGACTCTGTTTGTTGTCATACACTCCTCGTAGCTCGGTGGGGCTGTGGAATACAGACATACAATATAGACAGCTAGGTTTTAAAACAGTTGATACGAACAAGCAAAGTGTTGAAGTATTGCAGAGAAAAATATTTTCCCAAATGTGAAACTTAACCAGGCTGGCAGGCAGGCAAGGAACAAAGACAGACAGACATGGCACAAAGACTGACACAGTACAAAGATCATCTGACATGAAAGAAAAAACAAACAGACAGAGTACAAAGACAAACAGACATGTAACAAAGAAAGACGGACAATTACAATGAGAGAACCACATAGAACGATCACCGACAGGCATGGAATAAAGACAGACAACGTACAAAGAGAGACATGGTTCAAATATAGAAAAACATAATACTAAGACAGACAGACATGAAACAAAGACAGAAACAATTCAAAAACAGACAGATATGTTACAAAGAAAGACATGAAACAAAGACAGACATGAAACAAAGACAGACACAATTCAAAAACAGACAGACACAGAACAAAGGCAGACAGATAAAGTTAAAAAAATATAGGAGAGCTATATATTTAACAAACTACTTATATATATAATTATGAATAAAGAGACCCTAAGCTGACCATTACTCCACAAAACATCCCTCCCATTCCTGTAAGTGATTTCATCACAAAATACAAATTAGACTCCAGTAATTACCATCAGGGGGGCGTCCTGGTTGTGTTGTGATTGGTCCAGCATTACCCATGTTGTTCAGTGCGATGTTGTCAGGCTGTTGGTCGTTGCTAGGCAGCCAGCTTGGTTCTGATGGTTGTCCATATGACATGGTAGGCGGTTGAAGAGGAAGGTCCTCGAGTGGACGTAACGGGATAGTGCCGATTATAACTGGCAGATCGAACTTAATGTCCATCAAAGACCCCTCCATATCGGCAGCAAGCTGCAATAAACAGAATAGCTGTCTAATATTCTTATTTTCAAAGATACTACTTCCTATAAAATTCTAGAGCATCATGGGAAAGAGTTGTGCCTTAATTATAATCTTTCAAAATAGCAAAGCTTGTGGTTTTAATTTGAAGCCATGAATTAAATTTGGCAGCATAGTATTTAGTAAACCCAGGTGTCCTGTAGAAATAAAATGTTGGATTGGTGGGTGAGTGTAAACCCATTATACAAAATACATGATGATTATAAAATACAACAATGTTTAAACCAAAATTCATCTTAGAAATAAAGTTGTTTAAACCAAAATGTATTGGCAAAGCCTCGTTTCTGACCCCAATTCTACACCCTCCGGTAGAATATCCACATCCAACATACCTACACATGACAGACTGTTAGTCATTTAGACGAGATGTTTTCTGGTTATTTTCAAAAGTATACCGATGAATAGACAGAAGTACAAACAAACACAGTGACTGCTACATAAACCTTCTTCAGTCCAGGTGAGCTGGAGGTAAATACAAAACTGCCTTACCCGACATGAGTAAGCTGGAGGTAAATACAAAACTGCCTTACCCGACATGAGTACTGAATATCAATGATAGAGCATCCGTATAGATAAGATGGTGGGGTTGATAAAACAAGAAGCTGATCGCCACTCCAGATGTCAGATTCTCTCGGACCAACAGCTCCGTGGGAAATTGTCGAGAGAACTTTACTGCGGCTTGTTGTACTTCCATGGGCCTTGAATACAGTAGTCTGAAATATACCACCGGGATAATATTATCAAGGGCAATAACTCTTTAAAAATGGTTGTAACAACATGGTGGTATAGAAATATGTTTTCCGTTATAAAAGTCCATTTTATACTTTCGGAGAACAACTTGTGGTAGACTTACATACCTAGAAACAACATGCTGGTAATACATGCAGAACTTTATGTGAAAAGTCAAAGTTGTATGGAAAGATATTTATTTGAGTACTGCTGGGGCAGAAAAATATACGTCTGTCCATGCCATTGGCAGATACTGCTAAACTTCTATCTTAGTCTTAGTAAATGAACATTGACCAGGAAATTTATGCACTCACATTTATAGGATGAGCATCTTACCGACTAAGATTTGGATATTTAAAATACAACAAAATCTGGAAAACAAGCATTTTTGAATAAAAAAAATTAGGATAATATAAATAGCAAAGGAAATGTCTGTAACCATAAAGGTGTAATGTATGGGTCAAATCAAAAGAATTACAATTGATCTGAAGGTTATAGCAAGTCTTAACTTCCTAACCGGCAATAACTTCAAAATCAAAATTGGATAATGGCAGTTTTGAACTATTGTCTAATGCAGATTTTTGTAAAAACAAACCGAAGAATTTGGTTCCAAACGTAACTGTTTTACAAACAACAATCTGAAACTCTTTAGATATCCCTGAGGCATCAGTTTAGATGGGGTACTATGCATGTATATGACAGCTACACAAACACACCTTAACTTTATAAGGCTGGGTATATCAAACATTCTAGTGTACAGTTTACCATGTTTAGGCTAACAGTGGTCATATGGATGGATGAAGTCCCGTTGTTCGTGACCTCAGCATTTATTTTAATATTTTCCCCGGGAACAAAGCCCTGCTTGTCCAAGCGTATCATACAGGTGACAGGGCCTGTTTTACAACACAGACAACACCCTGTCTTAGTGTCCTGCATCTGGGCTGGCAGCTGAAAATAACAAAGGCGTGTTTCATTAATTCCTTTGACACATAGCTCAATAATTTCATAACTTAGTCTGTTTATTTTGGTAAGTCACCTTTGAACTCCGCAACCTTTTAAACAGTAATCACTTATTCTTATTTGGATATCTACCAAGGTTTTGTTTTTTTCTAACTCAATTCCCTTAAAAAGTATAAACCTGGGTATGAAATTGTCTAATAAGCCTAGGCAAGTTTATTCAATATTTTCAACCTACCTATTCCTAGGATGGGACACAACCCACCTATTCCTAGGGTGGCACACAACCCACCTATTCCTAGGTTGGGACACACCCCACCTATTCCTATGATAGGACACAACCCCCCTATTCATAGGATGGGACACAACCCACCTATTCTTAGGATGGGACACAACCCATCTATTCCTAGGGTGGGACACAACACACCTATTCCTAGGGTGGGACACACCCCACCTATTCCTATGATAGGACACACCCCACCTATTCATAGGATGGGACACAACCCACCTATTCCTAGGATGGGACACAACCCATCCATTCCTAGGGTGGGACACAACCCACCTATTCCTATGATAGGACACAACCCACCTATTCATAGGATGGGACACAACCCACCTATTCCTAGGGTGGGACACAACCCACCTATTCCAAGGATGGGACACAACCCACCTATTCCTAGGGTGGGACACAACCCACCTATTCCTAGGATGGGACACAACCCATCCATTCCTAGGATGGGACACAACCCACCTATTCCTAGGGTGGGACACAACCCACCTATTCCTAGGGTGGGACACAACCCACCTATTCCTAGGATGGGACACAACCCACCTATTCCTAGGATGGGACACAACCCACCTATTCCTAGGATGGGACACAACCCACCTATTCCTAGGATGGGACACAACCCACCTATTCCTAGGATGGGACACAACCCACCTATTCCTAGGATGGGACACAACCCACCTATTCCTAGGATGGGACACAACCCACCTATTCCTAGGATGGGACACAACCCACCTATTCCTAGGATGGGACACAACCCACCTATTCCTAGGATGGGACACAACCCACCTATTCCTAGGATGGGACACAACCCACCTATTCCTAGGATGGGACACAACCCACCTATTCCTAGGATGGGACACAACCCACCTATTCCTAGGGTGGGACACAACCCACCTATTCCTAGGATGGGACACAACCCACCTATTCCTAGGATGGGACACAACCCACCTATTCCTAGGGTGGGACACAACCCACCTATTCCTAGGATGGGACACAACCCACCTATTCCTAGGGTGGGACACAACCCACCTATTCCTAGGATGGGACACAACCCACCTATTCCTAGGATGGGACACAACCCACCTATTCCTAGGATGGGACACAACCCACCTATTCCTAGGATGGGACACAACCCACCTATTCCTAGGATGGGACACAACCCACCTATTCCTAGGATGGGACACAACCCACCTATTCCTAGGATGGGACACAACCCACCTATTCCTAGGATGGGACACAACCCACCTATTCCTAGGATGGGACACAACCCACCTATTCCTAGGATGGGACACAACCCACCTATTCCTAGGATGGGACACAACCCACCTATTCCTAGGATGGGACACAACCCACCTATTCCTAGGATGGGACACAACCCACCTATTCCTAGGATGGGACACAACCCACCTATTCCTAGGATGGGACACAACCCACCTATTCCTAGGATGGGACACAACCCACCTATTCCTAGGATGGGACACAACCCACCTATTCCTAGGGTGGGACACAACCCACCTATTCCTAGGATGGGACACAACCCACCTATTCCTAGGGTGGGACACAACCCACCTATTCCTAGGATGGGACACAACCCACCTATTCCTAGGGTGGGACACAACCCACCTATTCCTAGGATGGGACACAACCCACCTATTCCTAGGGTGGGACACAACCCACCTATTCCTAGGATGGGACACAACCCACCTATTCCTAGGGTGGGACACAACCCACCTATTCCTAGGATGGGACACAACCCACCTATTCCTAGGGTGGGACACAACCCACCTATTCCTAGGATGGGACACAACCCACCTATTCCTAGGATGGGACACAACCCACCTATTCCTAGGGTGGGACACAACCCACCTATTCCTAGGATGGGACACAACCCACCTATTCCTAGGATGGGACACAACCCACCTATTCCTAGGATGGGACACAACCCACCTATTCCTAGGATGGGACACAACCCACCTATTCCTAGGATGGGACACAACCCACCTATTCCTAGGATGGGACACAACCCACCTATTCCTAGGATGGGACACAACCCACCTATTCCTAGGATGGGACACAACCCACCTATTCCTAGGATGGGACACAACCCACCTATTCCTAGGATGGGACACAACCCACCTATTCCTAGGATGGGACACAACCCACCTATTCCTAGGATGGGACACAACCCACCTATTCCTAGGATGGGACACAACCCACCTATTCCTAGGGTGGGACACAACCCACCTATTCCTAGGATGGGACACAACCCACCTATTCCTAGGATGGGACACAACCCACCTATTCCTAGGATGGGACACAACCCACCTATTCCTAGGATGGGACACAACCCACCTATTCCTAGGATGGGACACAACCCACCTATTCCTAGGATGGGACACAACCCACCTATTCCTAGGATGGGACACAACCCACCTATTCCTAGGATGGGACACAACCCACCTATTCCTAGGATGGGACACAACCCACCTATTCCTAGGATGGGACACAACCCACCTATTCCTAGGATGGGACACAACCCACCTATTCCTAGGATGGGACACAACCCACCTATTCCTAGGATGGGACACAACCCACCTATTCCTAGGATGGGACACAACCCACCTATTCCTAGGATGGGACACAACCCACCTATTCCTAGGATGGGACACAACCCACCTATTCCTAGGATGGGACACAACCCACCTATTCCTAGGGTGGGACACAACCCACCTATTCCTAGGATGGGACACAACCCACCTATTCCTAGGATGGGACACAACCCACCTATTCCTAGGGTGGGACACAACCCACCTATTCCTAGGATGGGACACAACCCACCTATTCCTAGGGTGGGACACAACCCACCTATTCCTAGGATGGGACACAACCCACCTATTCCTAGGGTGGGACACAATCCACCTATTCTTTGGATTGGACACAACCCATCCATTCCTAGGGTGGGACACAACCCACCCATTCCTTGGATGGGACACAACCCACCGTTTCCTAGGGTGGGACACAACCCACCTATTCCTGGGATGGGACACAACCAACCTATTCCTGGGATGGGACAAAACCCAAACAGTATACAGTATATCAGTGATTGAAATCTTGAGAGCAAAAACATTTTATTCACAGAAAATAGGAAATATTTAATTCAATCTGATAAAGGCAAGGATAAGTTATCATGATTATCAGGAGTTCTTATCTCTCCTGAAGTTCAAAAATTATCTGCACATATTTCCTCATTTCATACTAACCCTGGCCTCCGGTATAGTGTTGAGGTCAAGCATGAAAATGACTGTGAAGGGATGCTGGACTCTGTAATCAGTCCCACCCTTTATCCTCACTTTAGCCTTTATCAAGTACCGTACGTAGCCAGTCCCACCCTCGAAGGAAGAGGGCACAACCTGAGGTAACAAGAAATTGACTGGGTAGCCATAGTTTCCTGGCTGCATTTCCACATAGTCACCCTCAGGAGCTAATGTAGACAAAATAGCATGACAAATAATTAGTACCCTCAGGAGCTAATGTAGACAAAAATAGCATGACAAATAATTAGTATCTTAAGGATGTATGACATCTTACTGTGGAATTATCTCCTTTCCAGAGAAGTTTCAAATTGTGACAAGATACAATCACAGGAAAAATAATCTCACCAAAAATTAACATAGCAAATATTTCCCCAATTCATCTGGGGCCCTGCTTCTTGACACTCAGGGGAATAATGCCCTTCATATATATAGAATTTGATTCCCAGGTCCCAAGGATGCTGTATAGCAAGTCATAGCAAATTTGTTTGAGATCTGTATATATGTGTATACGGTTCTCAATCATTTCCATTTTAAGACTTGATATGGTGTCCCCTGGGGCAAGGCCAGACTTCAGAGATAATCCTTGTAGCATGATTGTTGTCTGTTCATGTCCAGCAAACATTAATTATAGGGATTTGTTCTCAGTTGCTTACTAGTTATGATTTAAGGACTTGGTTCCCAGATGCGGCCTCTTCATGCCCAGAAAATATATAGATGATAATAGGACAGGTATTTACACCATTTCATTGTTGTTAACCGGGGAGTAAGTCCCCTGGGGCAAGACCAGACGCTAGAGTCAATATTGGAAAGTATGAGTGAGTTCTACATGACATACATAATGGCTGTATTTTAAAATATCAGGGTATGTTCACTCCTGTGACCTTGAAAGTAGGTTAAGGTCCTTTATATGAGAAAAGTTTATAGCACACTCTCCATAGTACATAACAGTCAAACAGAAGAGCAAAATGATCACTGAATATTCTTTTTATTCAGAACTTAAGGACCTGAGAGCATATCTTTACAGACTTGTTTTCAATCTTCATCAACTTCTACAGGATTTGCCAAAAGAGTATTTATGATGAGCAGAACATTGTTATGATGCAACAAACCTTGGAATAATGGTATCTCTGTTTTGAAGTACTGCTCAGTCTCGCTATGACTCTGTTTATTGTCCCCCGATCCAGTTGACCAACTCGTGTGTGAATTACCTTTAAATTTGGCATATATCCCTGCAACAACAGCAACAAATTTCTAAGAACATCAGCCACTTTCCTAATATATCATTCAAACTGCTATGTTTGTTATGTATGTACATCAATAAAACAAATTGATATGTGGACAAGTCATCATTTTGACAAGGACTGCCTAGAGCTAAACAATAGAAGTAATAATAATAAGAATAATTTGACGTTCTTATAACCTAGTTAGTAGGTCGTCTCAAAGCAGTTCGCAAATTATTATCTATGGTTAAAGGGCCTTTGCAACCAGCCAATATCTTTCTCAACTCCCTGGGGAGCATACAGCCGGTGCTGCCATTTCGGCGCTCACAGCTAGTATTCTACATTTGAGTAAAATGGAACAAGTTGAGTAAAGTATCTTGTTTAGAGATACAACACAGTGCCGTGACGTGACTTGAACCCGCAACCCTTTGGTCACGAGCCTGGTGTCCAACCGCTAGACTACTGTGTTTCCTAACATTTATTTCAAGATTTTATTTAAGGTCATACATGATTTGTCCCTGGAAACCTACCAGGTATCCTCAAAACCCAGAAGTTATATGCCACAGCGATCTCTGCATCCCTTAAATATATCATTACAAAACTGAAGGCTTTGTATGCGCTACATGACCTAACAGATGATACAGGTAGATAAGTTTAAATATTTGATGTACATCAAAAGAATCGCGCAGCAGCCTAACAGAAAAAAATGACCAACTTTTAAGTCAAGTGTCACTCCTCTGTAATCTTTAAAGTACAGGTATCAGTCTAGCTATTGATTAATTCTTTATACCTGAAACCAATCAAAAAGCTTATTGTGCCTTCAATTTTGCCATTAAATATTCCAGGGGTACAGGTATCATTTGCTGAAAATGTAGTGTTTTTTTCTTAAATCCAGTGGAATCGTAAGTGTTTGGAATGTCATGAAAAAGACATTATCTCAATCTGATCATGAGATAACAGGACAATTCATTAAATGTTATGAAAAAGATGTTATCTCAATCTCAGCTAACAGGACACTTCATTAAATGTCATGAAAAAGATATTATCTCAATCTCAGCTAATAGGACAATTCATTAAATGTCATGAAAAAGATATCATCTCAATCTCAGCTAACAGGACACTTCATCAAATGTCATGAAAAAGATATCATCTCAATCTCAGCTAGCAGGACACTTCATCAAATGTCATGAAAAAAATATCATTTCAATCTGAGCTAACAGGACACTTCATTAAATGTCATGAAAAAGATATCATCTCAATCTCAATTAACAGGACACTTCACTAAATGTCATGAAAAAGATATTATCTCAATCTGAGCTAACAGGACACTTCATTAAATGTCATGAAAAAGATATTATCTCAAACTGAGCTAACAGTACTCTGCATTAAATACAACACATCTGCAATGCGAGTCTTACCTTTCACACGGTTTTGTACTGTCGAGTGGAACTGAACACATGCCTGCACTGTTTGTCCGGGGTAATATACAGCACTAGGGTTGTTCACTAAGCTGATGGACACGTTCACAACCATGATGAGCGGACGTTTTCATCAATCTGGCTGCAGGCTGTCAACATCAACAGATTCCAATGTATTTACATTAGGTTGACTGTACCATCATTGTAAAGGGGGCAAGCTGGGATAGCTCACCTACCTGCTGTCTCTGTATACATGTATTACTGGTATGTTAAATATCATGAATTGAAACTAAAAGAACAAAATACATACAAGCTGAAAACTGGCATAAATGTAGTAATTAAGGTTTTCCAACATTACAATAGAAGTCAGACCTCAAATCCTACATTTGTCATCATCACATATATATTATGTTTCTACTATAAGTCCCTTACATTTTGTCATCTGCCTACCCACCCCCACATAACCTCAGGATGCTCTTTACTAAATAAGGTTAAAATACACCCAAAGATCCTTTAAACCACATTTTATGAAAAATTCTTAGTTTACTTGTACAAAAGGAGTAATATTTCAGAACTATTTCCCCTTTTGGGCCTCATCTCTGTGTTCATGTATGGGGGGCACATTCTTCAATTGTTTTTTAATTCTATATAATAATACAAAATTAAATCTTCTGCCTTCAGGAATCCTCTATACAAAACAAGGTTAGAATCCCTTAATCAGTGCTGAAGTTGTGGGATTAATAACATTTTCCGCACTGAGCCCAACCTATCTGTGCCCCCATCCATTGAATATGCATGGAAAAGGGACGTTGATCCACAACAAATTTAGTCAAAGGATTGTGAAAACTGCGCCACAATGTGATTAACTTAATAATGACAAAATATCTGCCTTCTCTTTATAGTACAAGCATCACATTTGATCGATATTCATACTTTTTAGTATCTTGTGATCAATGCAATATTATATATATACATACACAGCTTTCATTGCCTACAATTGCACTGCAAAATCTCCCAGGAAATTAGCAACAACTTCAATTAATGCAAAGTCTCCCACCTGGAAGATAGTACTTCATCTTTACTGAAACATTTCTCAAGAATCAGGCCCACAATTGTAAAACAACAACTCCCAGTATGAAACTATATATAATGTAAAAGATGTCGTTTGGATTCGATTGCCTTACGAGCATCAGCTGTAGGGAATTTTCCTTTAGCTCAGGGATAGAGCATCAGGCTGGAAAGCCAATGGTTGCAGGTCCGAGCCCCAGTTACGGCACTATCTATATCACTATTCCTCGTCCTACTACAAATTGGTGGCATTGACCTTCCCCGTTTAAGGTAGGAAAACCCTTGGCGGGGAGTCAAAGAACCTAGGTTGGTGTTTTGAAAAAGGGGGGAATAGTGTAAAAGATGTACTTTGATTAGGTTGCCTTACAAGCGTCAACTGTAGATAATTTCCCTTTAGCTCAGCGGTAGAGCATCAGGCTGGAGAGCCAAGGGTCGCAGGTTCGAGCCTCAGTGTCGGCAATATCTTTATCATTATTCCTTGTCCTACTACACAATATAATAAATCAACTGTCATATGGACCAGGTCACTGACACTCCAGCGGAGGTGGATCCAAGGTGGGTGTCAGAAGCGCCCTTGACTTCCAATTTTTTTTCAGTGCACATAATTATATACTGCATCTATCATGTAAATTGAATATTCTTTTTTTTTTTAATTCTTGACTGGTGTTTCTTGTTGTGTATTGCACTGTCCAAGCCAAACACCCTCACACCCCCTCCAACAGGTCTGTTCGGAACAACCGGTCTGACCGTTTATTAATGTAACAATTTCGGGTATAAATCCTGGCGGACCTGCAAATGTTTATGCAGGCCTTGCAAGGCTTTGTCAAGCAGCATCAGATAACTATATGTCCGACCAGGGATGTGTAGTGGGTCCACTACACATCCCTGGTCCGACCTTATATAATAAACGAACAACAGTGGTCCGACCGGTTTGACCGTTTAAACGGAAACGGACCTAAAAGATATAAAAGGGGAGAATAGTGTAAAAGATGTACATTGATTAGGTTGCCTTACAAGCGTCAACTAGCTCAGCGATAGAGCATCAGGCTGGAGAACCAAGGGTCGCAGGTTCGAGCCTCAGTGACGCATCTCTCAGGCCTACAATCTATTTCAAAATCTCGAATTTGAGCGATAGTGTATCAATATTCATAGGTTTATTTTAGTCGCCATAACATTTGCTTATTCTATACATTTACTGCATAAAATTATATATTTCTGAATCGGAACTTACCCATTAATGTAAGACCGGAAGTCAAACTCGTTGGGGAAAAGTTGTGATTCAAATGCACCGATTGATCATAAGAGATCCTTATCTATTAACTTATATTTTATCACAACAAATTTACCTTGAATCGTAGAACCGATATTTTGTTTCCACCTACATCTACAACTTGGTATATATTCTGGCGTAATAAAAATATTATAAAGGTAATTAATTGTTATACGATAGTAAGTCTATCTGTATACGAACGCACCTGTCAAATGAATTATTCCCCAACATGCAACGCTAGCAGCCGGTTCCTGATACTGTTTTGAGAGCAAAAATAATGAGTGACCGCTCATTTGTGCAAGAAAGGAACCTAAGACAGTCGTTCAGACATCAGGATTTGAGACAGGATGATGCTTTTTACGAGAGGACAGTGCGATCGCATCAACAACCACAGGAAAATCGTGGACAAACAGGTTTGAAAAAAATCAAGTTAAGGGAGATAAGTCGTACACGGATTTCAATGTCATGTGCATGTGGGACAAGGCCATCTACAGAAAATAAAACCCTCGATACCAGTTCGAAATTGGATGCTTGATTTTGTACTTGGTTAACATATCAATTAAATATTTGTCAGAAAAGGCAAGCTCCCTTTGACCTTTAATTTAGTCAATAAAACGAAAATAAGATGGATCTAAACACAACCTACCTGCCTACTGTAGTACTGTACAGTAACTTGAGTAAGTAGCTCTGTCATTATGCGGCCTTTTGGAGACGACGCAATATATAAGAATTGTCTCGTCATCAGAAACTACGTTATTGCAGCTAAGCACAACCATGCATTAGAGTAACAGTTTCTGTTTTCAATAACAATTTTATCACCGAAATGGGAAATAAAGTGAAATGAATTTTTTTTAATGACTGTAACAAACAAAAATGGTCATCATTTTTTCAACAAAATCAAATAAGCTATACAATGAAGTACATTTCTACACAAAAAGTTATTTATTGAATTCTGATGTCTGTTTTCCAACAAGAGAAGTTGACTATTCCCAAACAGAAAAAAGAAACTGTCAATGTTAATTTACTTTTTTTCCAGATCAGTTCCAGACTTTTGCTGGATGGGCCATAGGAATATCAAGGTAGGTTTAATCATGGTATTAGATAATTGTGGCTTAATTATGAAAAATTGTCAAAAAATATTCTTGGTAAACCAACCGTCAGCAGATGGTGGGATGCTCTGCAATTCACCTTTTATTGTTTGATCCATCATCTGTCGTCCTTCTATGTTGAAATAGTTATTGTTATCACTGTTTCTTAAGAAATATTGAGCAGATCTTTCTCAAATTTAAAATTCAGGTTTCTCCTTGGTCATTATAGTTGTGTGTTCAATTTATAGAATGATGGGAAGAATAAGATGGTTTCCAGGTGGCCTCTTGGATTTTGACACTCAAAGTTTGTTATCGCTATATTCATCTTAAAGATCTGGATGGATATATATATCTCTCTCTAATATTTGGTTTTGGATTTCAGGTTATTATGTTGTACTGAATTAGAAATGATTACTGTCATAATGATTTAAAAGCTTTTGCAGTGTGTAAATTAGTAAATAGAAATGGAGTTGACTCAGTTTGAGTAAGTTATTGCAAAAGGGTCATGTCAATGAACGGAATTTTTTGTTTGTTGGAGCTGTGAAATATAACAAAGGCGTTGAAACATTTATATAATAAAAATCATATTTCAATAATAACAATACATTGTAACACACAATGTGTAACACAGTTCTCAGGGGGGGACCCAGGAATTAATTTTGGGTGTTGCCCAAAATTTTAAACTCAGAAAAAGACATATTTTGCACTTATCTAAAACTAATTAATTACAATTTTCAAGCCGGTTTTCATGTATACTAATTTCTCCCACCAAAATATAATAGAACTTCATTTTTACTGAGATTGGGACAATGATATTTCCACTGCCGAGCAGAGCGATGCGAAAATTTGTTTTCTGAAGATGTTACTAAACTTTTTCAAGCACAGCTGCCGAGCGTAGAAAGCAAGAATTTATCGGACATTATTTCCTTGACAAACAGATCGAGTGAGGCGTAAAATAGTTTCGGTATCATATACCAGGTTATATTTTATAAAGTAGAGTATTTATATTTTATGATGGCCGAGCGGAGCGAGTACGTGTTAACCAATTTTGTAAGAATGTTAAAAATGTAGATTTTGGTTAAAATGTTGATGTTTGTGTCAGGCCCGTAAACTGGTCAAAGTTTATGGGGGGGCTTTTCTGTAGATACCGGTACATGTACAGCTTAGGAGAGCATTTTGGCAATTTAACATTAACTTATTAGTCATAAATATGAAATTGTGATTTTAACTGTTTGTCTTTTATTGTGAAATATTATTGCATACATATGTGCAATGGCAACACCTAATGAAAGAATGTACAGCCCAGGCTTTTATGCTAACATTGATTAATCACCTAATGAAGTGATGCTAAGGAGGCCGTGCTTCAATGTGTTTGAAATTTTTGAAATTTATGTTTTTCAATTGGTATAATAAATCACTCCTGGTGACCATGTGTACTTGAAACCACCGGTGAAAATACAGGTATATCTATCATGAAATAGACTCTTTGAAATAACACTTTACCTATATATACCTAATTCCAACAGATGGTATAGTCCTCTTCCAACTGTCAGGATGATCATCACACCATGACATTAGATTAGGTAGAGTCAGTCCGGTGAGCCTTGACCACTGACCTGACTGGAGATCCTACTAATATATAGACAATGGAGGATTAATCCCCTATTGTTTAGAGTATAAGTAGTGGACTCCTTGTTTGGGCAATACCCATGTTTGAATATATATAAATATTCAAACTGCTGGCAAAGGGAAGCCATAGAAAATCATAGTTCAAGAGAGGTTGTTATTAAAAGGAAATTCCATATGAAATAGGGGAAAATCTTCAAAAACCTTGGTCCAGCAGTGGCAGATTCAGAGGGGTTTTTGGGGCTTCAGGAAACCCCCCTACCCTGAGAATTTTCTTTAAAAATCATGTATTTTCCCCAGTTTCCTCAATTTCCCCCCCTTGGAACCCCCCCCCCCCCCTGGAAATTTGGAACCCCCCCAGATAGGTCTCTGGATCCGCCTCTGTCCAGATTATTTTTGGACACAGATAAACGTTGTTGCAACTAAAGCAACACCCCTGGGTCGTCACTGGTTCTGGTGTTTCCTCACACCCCAAAAGGGAAGGTGGAGAGTGATTTCCAAGTGAATGCAGATATACTGGCCAACATATTCAGTTCACTTATGACTCCTTTGCCACGATTGTATTAAATGTCCCTTCAGGACAAATTAAGTCCACTGTCTGCCTTATCCCGTAAACAACACCATACTGATAGTCAATATTTCTCCTCCTTCTCATCTGTGCCGCCCACCCAAGCTGTCCATCTTTTTGGAACTCTCACTTGCGAGGATTTCCATTTTAACTCTGTTTCTTTCTGTTTACAGTAGCGTGTTTGCAGAACACATCCTGTCCCATCCATGTATTGTTCTACGTCGACAATGTCAGGTTTGTGATCCCCCCCCCCTCTTCCATGTATTGTTTGAAGCACATTTAAAATGTCTGAAAATTATTGAGAGATTTAGAGTTCTGTCGATAAATTTTACATGTGCTGCATCAACTAAATATTCTTGTGAATAATTTTGAACTATCTTGAAAGAAGAATTTTGAAAAATAGATAATTTACTGTATTATACTTGCCAACTCTCCCTATGTCAGAGAGAGACTCATGATTTTGGTCCCTAAAATTTAGCATTTTTAAGCTGACAATCTGCTAAACTATTCCTATTATCAAAGGTATTGTGATTTCATCTGAAAGGACGACTCAAAAGATGCCATTTAAAAGTGTCATTTTTTATCTAGGGTGTACATACACTCATTTTATTTATGCTTTTAATTCTGAGAATGTGTAATCTCCCCCAGTTTGCAAGTATGCTGTATATAACCTTGTATAATGATGTCCTCTTCAGGTTCACCACAACGCCTCCTGGTACCACCTGACTCCTTTTACCCTCTTCCACGTAATTGTGAATTTGGAGAGAACACAGGTGAGACTTAATTTGCACTATACTAGTGTACCTGGAACTTTGTCCTACCTCTAACTTTGTGCACAAGTTTATCAGTTCCCAACCTGCTCCACCGAAAAGAGCTTTAAGTTTAAAATCCTTCAACCCATAGTCTGTATATATCGGGTCTGTCCTGGCATATTTCCTTAACTATTTCACCTTGAATTACCAAATTTCTTCTGCAGGTACATGTTAGGATGGCAGAGAATTGTTTACCAAAAGTAGGTCAACATGACCTATATTTTGACTTTTGACCCCCAACATTGAAGTCTCCTGTAATTAATGAATTCTGTCATTCAACTTGAGGTAAATCTTGGGATGGCAAAGATTCATCTACCAAAAGTAGGTCATTGTGACTTAAGTTTTGACCTCTGACCTTGATTATCGAAACGTTTTGCCGGGACATATATCTCCCATATTTTTCAACCTGTAATTAATAAATTTTAGTATGCAGATACATCTTGAGTATAGTTTACCAGAATTTGACAGTAAACAGTAACAGTAAAATTGTCTGGTGTCACTCCACAGTAATCTTCAAATATTGTGTATCGTACCATATTCAAAATATCGCATTATATCGTTGCAGCCCTAATCCCCCCATAATGATTCTATTACATTGTATTGATTATAGTTCTGCGGTGTATTTATTGATGCAAGGAATGGTCACCATATTCTTCTTCAATGAAGGTGTGTAGTAAAATTCTGGTGATTTTTCAGGGCCTGGCCACACTATGGAAAGGTATAGGAAGTGTGTTTCTCGCTAAGGGAATCTTCATGGTCAGCGAAACGGTCATCAGTGAGGTCACACCTCTTCCTAAGTAAGTAGGGCGGCTTTAAAACTCTGTGAATTTTAATCTGTTCTAATGTATAAATAAAATAGAACAAATATGGATAATGGATGAAATAAATATATACAAATTGTTATCAATTCCCAAAACTGACATTTAGAAGCAAATACATTCTCACAAATTCATAATTCTATTTCAGAGAAGTTTCGAAACACAGTCCACTGAAGAAACACTGTCAACACTTGCTCCTGAAAGGGTAAGCTTTGGTGCTACGAGATCCATGTCTATGTCTCTACTGACAAAAATATGCTGCTAAGGTAAATAAATTAACCCTTTCACCACTGTAGACCATAATGGACTCCCTCAGATCAATGCATGGTAGAGTCTACTAAAGTTACATAGAGGTGAAAGGTTTAAGGGTGCTTTCAGGTGGTGCAGTGGATAGCACACTTGCCTTTCACCAAGGCGGCCAGGGTTCGATTCCCTGATAGGACATGAAAATGTATGGGGTCAACTGCCCGACCACGTAGGTTTTCTCCGGGTACTCCGGTTTCCTCCCACATTAAGACCCCCCCCCCCATCACTAATATCCGAGCCTTCAAGTGTGATTGATATAAGTTGTAAAAACTTGTTTCATAATGGTTGTGAAATAAATAACTTTTATATTTAATGTCAAATATAAAAGATTTCCCCAAGGCAAGCTATTATATATATAATCTAAACTTATGAAAGTGAAACATTTAACTGATGCTGATCATGTACTGTTCATTTTCCTGTGCAATTTCCCAATCTAAGCCCAAGCTTCTCAATTCTTTCATAAGTTATACTATTCATAAAATTTTCTCTTTTGGAACATCCCCACCCCCACCCTCTTCCCTGTTGGAACACCCCCATCCCCACCCTCGTCCCTGTTGGAACACCCCCACCCCCACCCTCGTCCCTGTTGGAACACCCCCACCCTCGTCCCTGTTTGGAGTTGTACATATGAAGTCTCTGGTTACTTTGTCCAAATAAATATGTCTAAAATTCATGACAGCATTGACATACTTGCCAACTTTTTAAAATTTAATGTGTGTATCTACACCCTGGGGAAAAATAACACTTTTAAATTATTTGAGCTGGTTTTCAGATGAAATCATCAGATCTTAGAAATTAGAAACAGTTCAGCAGATTTTTTACTGGTTGAAAACACTAAATTTTAGGGTTCAAAATCGGGAGTCTCCCTCCAAAATAGGGAGAATTGGCAAGTATGGCATTGAGCAATTATCTACAGTATTCAATATGGTCACAAAAGATCATGATATCAGAGAAAATGGGGGCCTAGGAATGATACTTATATATAAGGAATAACTAAAAAACGTCATTGATATTACGATTGAGTGACGGTCTTTCTGTCCTTTTCAGACTGTCATATATGATCTCCACACCCTTCCTGGCAGCCAGCCTACTGGAAACTGTACAGGTAAGTTATACCTTGACAAGGACACAGTGTAACGTCGGACAAGCGCCGGTTTAAGGAATTTGGATGTAAAGANCAGTTTTCTTTGATTAAAAAAATGGATTTTTAGCCCTCCATCTTCAAATTTCCAACATAGGAATGGGTGATAGTACCTGAAAGGAAATTGAAGAGCAAAGAAGGTGAAAGATAATCTTTTGTAGATCTGATAAAGATTCTTTCATGATGGGTGCCAAGATCCTTCTAGGATCTCTTGCTTATAGGTAATTGGGCTCATATTTATAATTATATGGATTTCACATTTTCCTTGCCTTCTCCACAGGCAATATGAAATTTACACAGGCAAGAAATAGGTCCATGTTACATGCGCAAGCAATAATCGTCGTGTTTTTTATCGTTTGCACATCGTACACACATAGCACGCATCGTGTTACGTTGTGCGATCCATACGTTGTGTGATCCATACGTTGTGTGATCCAACAACTACCTATCTGGATTTCACATTACCCTTGCCTTCTTACACAGGCAATATGAAATCTACACAGGTAATATAGGTCCATGTTACATGTATTGTCAGGACCATACTCTAGTGTACACAGGTACTATAGGTCCAGGTTACATGTATTGTCAGGACCACACTATGGTGTACACAGGTAATATAGGTCTATGTTACATGTATTGTCAGGAGCATACTATGGTGTACACAGGTTATATAGGTCCATGTTATATGTATACATGGACCATACTGCGGTGTACATATCACTTGGAACTGTTTCTTCTACCGTTTTCCTGGCTGCAATGAAACCAAAAATATAAGTAGTTGTCACAGAAATCTTTTCATTTGATTCTGACCTCCTCGGGCACAATGAGCTTGTTTTCTGCTCATTCTTATAGGCTGATGTGTCGTCTGAGCGTCCAGGAACATTTGACTGTCTGAAGGAAGGCGTGGCGCGTGTGATGGGGTGGTGGACGCCACAGACCACTCACCTCCTGCCTGTCTGGAAACTTGTCCTGCCAACAGCCATCATAGGAGTTACATCATATACAATCACCCAGCTGGCCAAGTACACCGTCATCTCCACCATCACACTGGAAGAACAGGAATCAAGGGTAGGTACTCTGTCCATAGATCTAACTTGGCTTCAAACCTCTGACATAAGCTTTACCTATGTACAGTATCACTTCATTTTTGTGAGAAAATTCTTTTTTGAGTTGATTCAAGAGGTGTTTGGTTTGTTTGTATTAATGCCCCGAGTATTCGGAGAAAAACTGTTGACCTGCAGCCAATATCTGGCAACTGCCTCATGTAGGCCTCAAACCCACGACCCAGTGGTGGAGGCCTTGTGATCACAGACAGTCAGACACCCTAACCACTCGGCCACTACAGAATGGGAATGGTATGAGTAACACTATGATGAAACAAGCTGCCAAGGTATCAGTCGGACAGGTGGCAGAGTGGTTAAGGTGTACAACCATATGTTTATTTTTACCTGGTAGTCACCAGGTACAGGCCACAGGTCAATGGTTTTTCTCTGGGCAATCCCATTTTCCTCCACCACGAAAACCTGGCACGTCCTTAAATAACTTTAGCTTTATATAGAGCATGTGTCATATATAATTCTTGTCTGATTAAGACTAATTCAGACCCAAAGTTATAGAGTGCTCTGTAATTTTTTGCTCAAGCTGTGAATTTGGATATTTTATATTTTTGTACACAGTCTATATTTCCCCTTCCCTAAAAACTGAATGGTAATAAAGTGTGGCTTTTGATTTGTGGTTTAGGCTAACTCTTCGCCAGTGGACGGACACACTAACGCCAAGAAGATGTACGAGACATTTTTCACAGAAATGCTTGCCAGCTTCACCGGAAACCTGCTGGCAGACATGATGACTTATCCGCTGGAGACTGTGATACACCGACTGTACCTACAAGGTACGCGGACTATCATAGACAATACTGACACTGGCATGGACGTCATCCCCATCAGCACGCGCTACGAGGGCGTTGTCGACTGTTTTCGAGACATTGTGATCGAGGAAGGTTTTTCTGGACTTTACAAAGGTTTTGGAGCTGTGATCCTTCAGTATGCATTACATGCAGCTATTCTACGTACAGCAAAGTTTCTTTTCGAGAAAATATCTCAGGAGTTCGGCACTTCTAGACATTGTTCAAGCATACATCCTTCAACAATGGTGAGTTCAAATTTAAAGTGCACAAAACAATGTATAACATTCGTGATGCATTTAATCTCTGTTAATAATATACATGTGTTACAATGCAGAAAAAAATAACTTGGTATACAATATTCATTAATAAATGTTTTAATTCTTTATTTTTTTAACGAGGATTACGAACAGCCGAAGGGCTACAAGTCCTTTCCTTTAATAAATTTCCTTCCAGAAATCATAAAACTTAACCCTGTGTATTACACGTTTACTATGAAAACTTTACTGATTAAGTTACATGTAATAATGTAAGACTTTACCCAATTTGATGTTTTTGATATGAAAATTTTAACTTATGTGTGTTATTTGATATTAAAATTAACCCTATATAGATTAGTGTTTAATATTAACACTTTACTCTCAATGGACTCCGAAGCAGTGTTTTTGTTACCTAAATTTAACAACAGCTGCTCCTTTATGAATTGGGAAATATAACATTATTTTTATTGAAATTGGGAACATATTCTTCATTATTTGGTCATTTTGGGAAAATATCATATGGCACTTTTTAGCGAGGGGGAAACAGCCTGTATTCGGCTGTAAAACTGAGCAAAACAAAATCACTCGGAGAGACCATTTAAGGTGTTCATATTGAACTTTAAACTGTATAATGTTTAATAATAAAGCCTTGTCTTGTATTTTGATATGAAAAAAAACCCATATATTATGTTCCATATTTAATTGTACTCTACATGGTATTTAAAATTTAGGTTTAACCCTATGTGGTGCTTCTTATACGAAAAACCCTATCCTAGGGTGTTTTGATATACCTTGCATAGTGTTTAATACCTAGAAAAAATTTCCCACATGGTGTGTCACATTGGTAAAGTTTTAGCATATTACGGTATTCAATATAAAAACTTTACCTTATGCAGTATAAAGTGTTTCATATGAGGAATGTTGTTTGATTACATGTATAACCATCTGATTTATTTTTAAATGTTGTTTGATTATAACCATCTGATTTATTTTCAAATTTGTTTGATTATAACCATCTGATTTATTTTTAAATGTTGTTTGATTATAACCATCTGATTTATTTTTTAAATGTTGTTTTTCAGCCCAAGCAGCCTAACCAATGAAGGTGTCATCAAGCCGCAGAGGTAGAGTTGTGGAAATATGCGTCTGTCTGTATAGAATATATATATGTTAATTAGCAAAAATACGGTGACATTTAAAATGTATATTAAAATGTGTAAAAGTGATATGACTATATTTATTTGCAAAGATGCAGAGGTCAACGTGACCTGGTCTGTTGGGATGCTGAGCAACTTAGCTCCAGATATGGCCAAATATTTGCAGACACAAAAAAAAAAAAAAATATTGCATCGTCGGAAACCCATGTTTAATTGTACTAGCGTTTATTGTGGGTTGCCGACGATGTAACTTTAGCGGTACCTCGTTAATTTGCAAGGTTTGACAAGCTTCCGCTGTAATATAAAATCATCATGGAAGTTTCAGAACTACAATATGATGAACAACTGTTTTCTGGTGATCTTGTGTGATTTCTAGTCCACTGTTTGGGAGTTGACTGTCGCCAGTGGCTTGCTGTGTTGTCAGTTCGTTTTTATAAAAGTTTCACATACCCGTAAGTTTCTAAGGAGAAGACAATGTAATGCCGTGTAAGCCTTTGTGTTCTGTTAATGTATAGTTGAACCTACTGGTAACATATCTATGGTTCCTTGTCTTTGTAAACATTCTAACAACCTAAAGTGAAGCCCTAATTTAAAACTCTTTAAACAACATTTTACATACATATTTTCGCAGTATGTACACAGTTGGATTTTTTCAGACCATCAATTGCTGGTGTCTTCAGTTTTCTTCAGAGATATTACAATGAAAAGTTCTTTTAATTTTCCAGTGTCAAGCTCTTTGTCACCTGGGATACATTGATAAAATCTAGAAATGAGAAATCAATAGAGATTGATATGTTAGTCCCCAACTGATGCTGAGAGGACTATAGGTTTACACAGAGAGGACTATAAGTTTACACTGACAGGACTATAGGTTTACACTGACAGGACTATAGGTTTACACTGAGAGGACTATAGGTTTACACTGAGAGGACTATAGGCTTACACAGAGAGGACTAGAGGTTTACACACAGAGGACTATAGGTTTACACAGAGAGCAATAGAGGTTTACACAGAGAGGACTAGGTTTACACTGAGAGGACTATCGGTTTACACTGAGAGTACTATCAGTTTACACTGAGAGGACTATAGGCTTACACAGAGAGGACTAGAGGTTTACACACAGAGGACTATAGGTTTACACAGAGAGCAATAGAGGTTTACACAGAGAGGACTAGGTTTACACTGAGAGGACTAGAGGTTTACACAGAGAGGACTATAAGTTTACACTGAGAGGACTATAGGCTTACACAGAGAGGACTAGAGGTTTACACACAGAGGACTATAGGTTTACACTGAGAGTACTATAGGTTTACACTGAGAGGAATATAGGTTTACACAGAGAGGACTATCAGTTTACACTGAGAGGGCTATAGGTTTACACAGAGAGGACTATCAGTTTACACTGAGAGGGCTATAGGTTTACACAGAGAGGACTATCAGATTACACTGAGAGGACTATAGGTTTACTCAGAGAGGACTATAGGTTTACACCGAGAGGACTATAGGTTAACACAGAGAGGACTATAGGTTTACACCGAGAGGACTATAGGTTAACACAGAGAGGACTATAGGTTTACAGAGAGGACTATAGGTTTACAGAGAGGACTATAGGTTTACAGAGAGGACTATAGGTTTACACTGAGAGGACTATAGGTTTACACAGAGAGGACTAGAGGTTTACACTGAGAGGACTAGGTTTACACTGAGAGGACTATCGGTTTACACTGAGAGGACTATCAGTTTACACTGAGAGGACTATAGGTTTACACTGAGAGGACTATAGGTTTACACTCGTCCGTTTGTCAACACATCACGTTGTCTAGGGCATGTTCTTTTTATCTTGTCCCCTACGATTTCATTGGAAAGACCTCCCTCAACATAATTTACATCTACGGCCTATACGTCTATACGTACTGCCTGAAATTGTGATTTAGACAATCACAGCGGAGAGATGAAAGAGTGTAAGGTACTGAAATAAGGTAGGCTTCCTGTAGGGTTATGTGTCTTCGTTGAGTTTTACTAGTAAAACTGAAGACAAATTGCTCTTTCCGTCATAGTTTCTCTTTTGAGCAAGGCTCTACTGGGCTTAAAACAAAACTCTTCTGACCAGTTTGATCATTATCATCCTTTTTGTTAGATAACCATGATGTAAGAGTGAATATCTGTTGTAGCTTACCTTCTACCTAATCCACAGGGCCACCATCTGTATTTCATGTCAATTATTTACAGTCTGACATCACAATGATGCCTTTAAGTCTTTGTGTTAATTGATTCATTCTGATGCCAAAATTGGCAATATTCCATTAATGATTACGCAAAAATGACAAAAAGGTCTCTGTTTTTGCTTTATGTATAACATGGTAGTCATGTGAGCAATTGTGATGTGCACTAAACATCTTTTATATTTTGTCTGAGAATATTTGGCAACATTTTCTGTTTAAAAAATGGAAGTCATTGCCCTTCAAACAAATACCTGTATACAATGTATAGTGAGCACTTTTAATGCATGAAATTTGAACCATGTACAGTGTACCAGGAAAATTGTAAGTGAACAGTTTTACAGCGAGAAATAAAAATGTGATAGAATATTGTACTATGAATACAACATGTATTTATGGAGTGTTACCTGTCATACATAAGCCTTAGGTGTTTGTTTGATATTTTAAAATATGTGTCGCTAAATATTCCACTCTTGAAGTCGTAACATGAACGTATATGCCATCTATCAGGGGCAATTTCATATTGAGAGTACTAGCACACAGGCAGATTTAAAAAAAAAAAACATTTTCATAGTAACGTTCAAATTTTCGCTAGCCTTGGGATAAAATGTAGCCTTGGGCATCAGGCTAACAGTTGAAATGTTCAGCCCGTAGTCCGACCTATATACAGCAGGCCTTGTCACAGACGAGCAAAGTACATTCCTATGGAATATAAAATTTCTCTGTACACAAGTGTTCATTTAAGATTGGTCTATATTTTAGGGAGTTCGTTTAGACCGGTTTCCAATGTAATATGTAACTAATGGTAAATATTTGATATTAAGCCACTGAAACTTGGATGAACTGACATTCTGTAAGCATAACTGATTAAGTTAAAATAGAAATTCTTGCTACTGTCATTCAATTTTTATTTATTTTTCTGGAAAAGATGTTGAGATTGAAGAAGTTCTGCTGTGCAAAAACTCTTACTATGAAGTCCAAAAGGGCATTTGGTAGAAATAGCTTTAATTATTGTAAGCTCAATTTTAGTTTTCTTTTGAGAAATGCAAGCCAGCTGGCGATTTTTTTTCTTGAAATCCTTCAAAAAGGACTGGAAATTAATACACCGCTTTCACTTAAATTGCAGGACTACAAAATGATCGGCAAATACCAAAGGCGCATAGCATTGTTGGTGCTGTCTGTAGATTAGAGGTGTTTCATATTGTGTTGTGACGATCATTTTGTGGAGGGAAAAAGTAAATTCTTTCTTTGAAAACTTTCTTCTTTCCATCTTAACCTTTCTCTGACATTAATCTTCAAATTGTTGAAGTTGGTCAGTACCCTGTAGAAGTGACATTCGGATTGAAATGTACATTTTGTAGTTTGCCTTTCAATATTGTAGTCCTGCACCTGAAGTGTAAAGGTATGATCTATGATTGGTCAAAAATTATTATTGTTTTTAATTTTTAATTATTGTAAAAATCATTAAGGTCTTCCTTTTTTGTTTTCTCAGAGGTATGTTTCATACTGCTTAATGATTTCAAAGTTATAAATAAAATTATTTGTTTTATGTTATTGAATGTTTTTTCTTCTTTATTATTACACAAAGGGCAGTAACTCTGTATATAAGTATTGGATCAATGTGTTTTATACACATTTACAACCTCATCTGATGACAATGACAATTGTTTTATTCTCATAAACAATACAGTGTAGAGAATACATATATACAAATGGGTGACAATAATACATGGTGGAACTTTAACTTTATATTTTACAATTGTTTAATTTTTGAGTCCAGTGTAGAGAAACTCTATTGGCTCCTGTATTGGAAACTAACTTTTACTTTAACAGGATGGACATTAGTATTGTGAATTAATTTTAGCCAATGATATCAATTCATGTTGTGGTACATAATTGAATCATATATGAAATTTAATTGTGTTTGGGTTTTCATAATAATATCTGGACATATGTTTTCGTCTACCATATTGAGTATTGGTTGTTATGTAGAGGTAAACAGGTATTGAAATGCGTCGACAATTTCTCTTAAATTACATATATTACATAACCTATTTTCATGTGGTATATTGGACCACCCATCACTTTCAATTGGTAACTTCGTATTACATGTTCTAAATTTACTATATGATTTGGCTAGTTTCGGAGGGAGTTCTAGTATAGTAAGTATAGTACTCAGAGAGTCTATAATTATTTCCTTTCGGGAAAGTATGAATTTGTTTTCTGCAGTTTGATATTAATAGAGAAACCTGTTAATCCTCAACTAAGTTTCACGGAAATGGGAAAAAAAGAAGGATTATTTGTGGAGACAAATTACATGTACTAATGTTTTAAATAAACAACGGGTCATAACTCTGTAAAAACATGATCATATTATGCCCCATTCCATGTCTGTAATAATAATAACTATCTGCAGGATTTCTTTTCTGAAGGATGGGTTGAAATATCAGATCTTTCCTCAATGAATTACAATACACATTCAATGAAAGCTTAATAGATGTGGTGTTCGTTTGGCACTACTGAACCCGCCGTTGTTATCAGCCAAATTCTTCCTTCCCTTAATATTTTAACAATGGTCTTCATTTGATCCTGACTGTCGCGAGAGAATTAAATCCTGATTAAAAAAACAATCTCAGGATTGGGATCCACAGAGGGGATCGGTCATTGTACACTGGCGCTGAATTCCAGTTACTCTCCTTCCTCTTCATCCACATCGAACTGGGGAGTCGTTCAGTTTCCTCGGAAGCCTGCAGCACTGCCGCTTTCTTTAATGTTTCTTTCGGTCGCAGCGCGTGAAATCTTTACACCACACTTTCACAGTGGAGTTCGTCATCTGCCACCCTGCTCTCTTTATTCTGGCAAGTCCTCGTTTTTGCCCATATTCAGTCATTGGTATTGACACACCTCTACTATGGCATTTTCAGTTCCACCAGTACCAGAGTCTTGATACCCTGGACACAGTAATGTCCATCAAAAAGGACTTTTGGACTATGTAAGGGGAAATCAGCCTCCCGTATAGATTCATTATAAGAACTTGATCTTCCTCCATTTTTAGAAAACCAGTTCTTCTGCTGGTTTCTCACGTTGTTGGACTTCACTGCCTTCCATCTTATCTCTATCCTTCTGTAAGGTTTCTGCCAATTTTCTCAATATCTGAATGTACCTCCACGTGTAAGTATTGTCTATCTACCAGGGAAATTGATAAAATCTGTTCCAAAGTCTATCGCTTTCCACACAATGTACCTGATGGGTTTGGATTAACATTTGTGGAGTTCAACAGGTAAAGATAAAATGTCGCACACAGCAGAATGTCTTGACTGAAATTTTGAATACCACAAATATCCGTCAAAGACAGCTTCGCTCCACTGTATCCAATCTAGTCCTTCCTCCCTAACATCCCATCCACAGCTTTTAGCTCACCTGGTCCAAAGGGACTCACAAATAGAGTTTGTTATGTTAAGAGAACTCTTATTTGTGAGTGTTTACTGATACATGTAACAATATACTTATACAAGAACAACAAACATCTTTAAGATTTCAACAAATAATTTAGCTTTTATCAAAATGGCAACCCCTAAAAGCCAAATTCCTCTCTGTATTAAAGGTCAAACGACATGTATTCACAACAAGGGGAGAGAACTAGAATTTTGTGGTGAAAAATGTCAGGAACTGGATTGTCCAAAAATGCCCCTCTTCTATTCACAAAACCCATCCAGTTAGTGAGATGAGTTAAATCACTCCACAGAAAGAACCAGACTTTAAAAACTTTATAGACAGAACAGAAAAAAAGGACCTTGTACAAATTGGGAAATACATTTCCTCTACTGATACACTCCTTATTTATACAAAATTGTTCCCCCTTTACCCAAGGATGCTTCAGACCAAATATGGAACAAATCCTTTCATTCCTACAGAAGAAGAAGGATTTTAAAGAATTTGCTTTATTTCCCCTATTGGGCCCCGCCCCTCTTAAAGACAGCAGAGTACTTTTGAGAAGCTGTCACAAAAGTTAAAAATGTAAACAGATAAATTAAAACAAGATCTGGACATGCTTACAGCACAGACACTCTCTCTTTACCACAAAATGGAAGAGGATAATACCAAGCTGATAAAGAAATACAAACAGGACCTCCAGATATACAAGAAGCAACTCAAACAACAAATTCAAGAATGCAAAGCAGCTCTCCAGCGTGGTTCACACATACAAATTTATGATGAATTTTGTGAGATCCACTCTCCTACACAGTCTCCCTGTAAAACCTGTCCTGGGTACTGCCAACTTCACTTCGAATGAAAATCCTCAACATCACTTGAAAAAGGCATTAGGAGTGATCACCTCAGGTCATGGTCAAACATTAACTGACCAGGTTTGGTCATTCACAACATCAGATGATCTGGGACAACCCTCTACACAACAACAACGGTCAGGAGCAAAAGTGAAGAAATCAGTGACAACATACAAACTTCTACCACAGACCAAGGTAGTGGAGGAGTGGGAGTCTCCATGTCACATTGATTCTATATGTCCCACCACTGATGGTCAGGTGTGGACCAGGTACCAGTACACATTAACTCTCCTGGACAGGAAGGGTGAAGTTATACAGGAGGTCAATCACAATGTCAGGATCAGTGATATCAGTCTGTCACCCGCCACCCCCACACTGTGGGTCTGTGATAATAACAACATCACAGAACTGGTATCAGGACGACTGACGCACAGATTCAGTACCAAGGAGGAACCCATGTGTATGGGTATTACAGCCAGTAGCCATGTCACTGTGGGGATGACCAAACACATCTCCAAATTAACCACAAATGTTAAAAGAGTGTGTTCTACAATGACTGGGAAACCATTAGTGGGTATACGTACACCATACAGGATCTCAGAGTGTCCTGTCACTCACAATGTGGCAGTGGTTGATTTCAGTAGTCAGACAAATGGTGGTGATGGAAAAGTACATGTTGTTGTGATGGACACTGATTTAAAGGAGCTATTTGTATATAGAGGTGACATCCCCAGTACATATAAACCAACACTACAAACAGGAGGTAAACCATTTAACCCCTAGGTTGTGGTGTATGACAGTGTGGGGAACCTGATCATAGGGGACTATGACAACTACAGGGTCCTACTCATCAGTGGAGGTGGTGAGTTCCTTAGGGTCATACACACAGACAAAGACTGTACATGGGCTGTAGGTATAGACAGGGAGGATGTTCTATGGGCAGTGTTTGATGATACTAGTATCAACGTCACAATACAGTACAGCAGTGTGTAACACCTGTAACCAAACCAACTAGTCCAGTCATTTTTTAGCTCACCTGGTCCAAAGGGCTTATGTATGGCGCAGCCTCCATCGTCCATCAACTTTTTACCTGGGTCATAACATTGAAACAGTTGAGTTGATAAACTGGTATGGTACTCCACAGGTTTTAATTGAAAATAAAATACCAGGTAAGCTGTTAACGCCCCTTGGCCTCTTTGTTGCCTTCTCATGTCTTCTTTGATTGAAACTTCCTCCTGAAACAATACGCCCCCCTCTCTCTCTCCGTGTGTACTGTTCCTGCTGT